TTCACTATTTCAATAAACTAATGAAAGGAGCTTCATCCCCTCCACAAGTAACACTTTTATTTTCTGTTATTAGGGCCAAAAAGAGTTTTATCAAATTTGTTACTAAATTCTTACAAATCTGTTAATGAAAATTTTCAAATGTATTATTCTTTTCTGTGCATGTATATCCAGAGATGACATGATATTCAAATCATTGCAAAGCTTTTGGGTTTATGAAACATGGATTCCCTCTAGTGGCCAAATTAATTATGGGAAATAAAAGTGATGTAAACACGTACTCTTAGAAAAGAGGCTTCTGCCCAGAGTGGCTTAGTGAGCATCCACCTATGAACCAGAAGGTCACGGTTCAATTACTGGTCAGGGCACATGCCCAGGTTGCGCCCGGGGTTGTGGGCTTGATCCCCAGTGTGGGGCGTGCAGGAGGCAGCCGATCATACTCTCTCATCATTGATGTTTCTAGCTCTCCCTCTTCCTTCCTCTCTGAACTCAATAAAAGTTATTTTTTAAAAAAAGAAAAGAGGCTTCTTAGTGAGTGAGGGATGTGAATTACATCTGAAGAAAATCAACAATGCTTAACTCTTGTGTTTTATCTATTTTAATTGAGGTATAATTTACATACAATAAAATGTTCTAATTTTAAGTGTGTGATTCGATGAGTTTTGACAAATGTATAAATTATGTATCACACCATAATAAAAATCTAGAACATCTTATCACTCCAAAAGTTCTTTTGTACCCTTTTTTAGTCAGCCCCAGATGAACTGTACAATTTAAAGTAGAAATGGTGAGAAAATACCATTGTTTTTAATCTTAGGGGTCTTTCACCATAAAGTATGATTTTATTTGTGAGTATTCATAGATGTCATTTTATCAGCTTGATGAATATTTCTAGTTTGTGAAAGTGTTTATTTTTTTTATCATGGATAAATGTTGAATTCTGTCAAATACTTTTTCTACATCTACTGAGATCAATATTGTTTTTTCTTCTTTAATTTGTTGCTATCGAGAATTGCATTAATTTTTGAAGGTTGAACCACTTATGTTCCCACTTGTTAATGATATATTACCCTTATAATATATTGCTTTATATTATTTATTATTGTTTTGAAGATTTATGTTATTATGTTGAGGAATATTGGTCTGTAGTTGTCTTTTCTTGTGATATTTTGATATCAAGGCAATGGTGGCCTCATAAAGTGAGTTGGGAAGTGTTCCTTTCTCTTCTATTTTCTGAGAAATTTGCATAGGATCCTTATTATTCTTCTCTTAAATGTTTGAGAAAAATCACCAGTGAAGCTCACTAAGCCTGGAAATCCTTTGTCAGGGGTTATTAATTACTAATTCGTTGTTTAAAATTTATATAGTTATAATATTTTAAATTTCTTCTTGGGTTAGTTTTTGATGATTTCTATTTTAAATTTTTATTTATGTTGTCAAATATATTGCATTATTATCTTGTTAACATGTAAGCTTTTTATATTATCACTTTATCAACATTATAATGCCTTTAGCATCTATAGTGATATCCACTCTTTCATTCCTTATAATTTGGGTCTTTATGATGGAGTTAATTTTGTCCTACTTACAATCTAATAAACTACCCTTCCACAGTTTCATGAAGACTTACAGAAGACAAGACACTCCTGGACAGAGACAAAGAAATTCGTTACAGCAAAAGTAGTTGCAAAAAATGACCAATTGAGAAAGAATATGAAGAGAATAATTCCATTTACAATAGCATCAAGAAGTATAAAATACTTAGAAAGAAATCTAACCAAGGAGGATTTATACACTGAAAACTACAAAACATTGCTGAAGAAAGTTAAAGAAGACACCAATAAATGGAAAGACATCCTGTGTTCATGGGTTGGGAGACTTAATATTGATAAGATGTTAATGTGACCCAAAGCAATCTACAGATTTAATGAAATCCCTATCAAAGTCCAAATGGCATTTTTTTTTGCAAAAATAGAAAAATCCATTCTAAAATTCATATAGAATTTCAAGGGACCCTGAGTAGCCAAAACCATCTTGAAAAAGTACAAAGTTGGAGGTCTCACACTTTCTGATTTCAAAACTTATTCCAAAGCCACAGTTATCAAAAGAGTATGGTTCTGGCATAAGGCAGACATATAGAACAATGAAATGGAAAAGAGAGCTCAGAAATAAGCCCTCACATACATGGTCAAATGATATCACCAAAAAAACAAAAGAAGTAGTTGCCAGAGTATTAGCATCATATTAGCATTACAGTTTCTTGAATCCCATGTATCACAGAGTGATGTGGAGGACCAGATAAAGTCCACATGTGTAGTGGGTTGGGCCACAGAAGAGGAACTCTGAGTTTAAGGAATCCATCACTTTTATGGCAAGCAGTAAGGAAGCATTCATTCCCTTTGTACAGAGGGAGTCATTACCTCATCTCTCATACAGAATCTCAAGGGACCTTGTCATCTCTCAAGCTTACAGCTTCATGAAGACTCCTGAGAAATGGTTCAGGTCAAAAGGGGTTAAGATAGTGCTAGGAGATGATGTCTTTGGTAAAGGTATTGACATGTCTGCACATTAGCAACATTAAAAACCTCTCCAAATTAAAAAAAAAAATCATTGAGCATCCTTATAACCAGTGCTTTGAACTCTTTATCTGATAGAGTGTCCAGAAATCCCTTGTCTGAAGCTCTGTACCTCGCTTGGAAGTAAAGGCTGCTTCTTTGTGTCATCCAGACAAGAGTAGGATGTTTCATTCATATTGATATGACTTTAAACAGCAAATTTTCTGACAGTCTATGATTTTAGAGAAGAAGGGTCAGCAGCGGTCAAAAGGATTGTGATGACACTTCATACCTACAGTCTGACCTTGGGAGAAATATTGTTTCCTTTAACTTTGCAGCTGGTTTTATCTGTGTCTGTTGTTATAAAACAAGACAACATACCCAAAATGGTTTATGCTAAGCCTCATGTCTCCAAATGAAGACTTACTTACATTTCTGCTCTACCAGAATCAGACTCTTAAACCAGTCAATCAGGAATCGCTCAATCATCACTAGTTAGGTAATCTGCCCCACCATCCCCTTAGTAACTGCAATAACCATCCTGCTCTTTTTTTAAAAATAATTTTTAAAAAATTGATTTCAGATAGGGAGAGGAAGAGAGAGGTAGAAACATCAATGATGAGAGAGAATCATCAATCCGCTTGCCTCTTGCATGCCCCCTATTGGGGACTGAGCCCATAACCCAGGCATATGCCCTGACTAGATATGGAAGCCTGACCTCCTGGGTTCATGACTGGATGCTCAACCACTGAGTACAACAGCAGCTGGGCCCAACCTGCTTTTTGCCTGTATAATTTCCTAGTTCCTCCTCCCTTCTATATAAGACTTTTATTTTGTGCAGCTCCTTTTTATCTGCTAGATTGAATGTTGCCTGATTCAAACCAACTTTTGCTCAACTACACACTTAAAATTTTAAAAAATATGGCTCAGTTTATCTTTTAACATATCCCAGCGTCATGAATGGCCAGTCTTGATTCTCCAAAGGGAGCTGATAGTTTGCTTTCTCAGTGCAAATGCTCCACACACAACAGCGCGTTCCTAGGCTGTGTTAACTTGATCATAGACCGGAAAACCATACACATTGTTCAGTTTTGTTTTGTTTTGTTTTTCTCCCCAAAGTGTAAATGATAAGGCGGAGCCACAGAAACCCTAAAATCAAGGCCGTGTTCAGTCAGGTCCCCCTCTTCTCTCCACACACTCACACCTTTGTTTCTGCCTCCAGCTCCCAAGGTGTCCAAAGGTCGCACTACGGGAGTCAGAAACAAAAGAACCAGTGAGCCCCTCCCTGCTTTAAACCAAGTTCCTCGTGGCCTCTGCGAGGCTGTGGGTTGGAGCCCCCGCTTGGAGAAAGGGGGGTGCTGCGGAGCGGATTCGTGTCGCCGCCTTCCCTGTGTCCCCCCCGCAGGAAGATCTGCGGCTTGCGGAGTAGGAGAGAAGCCACGTCGCCAAACTACAGGGCCACCCACCGGACTTCCAGATGCAACCCCCCAGACCACGTCCAGCTCCAGCCTTGGGGCGCGACCCTGGCCCCTGACGCTGGGGAGATCCCTCAGCCCCGCCCCCCCGATCCCGGCCCG